TCTTATTTATATCTGCTTGACATCGCATCCTGATTTGTTTTGATCTCAGCTAGGGAGATCTACAATATCTGTTAGCCCCCTCAAATGCCAACAGACAGCACTTTATTCTTAGTTTACTAACTTGAAAGTGTTAAATAATTGAGAATTAAGGCTGGCCTTTGTCAAATACTTTTTTGATATCAAGATAACTGTATGGGTTTTCCCCCTTTGGATGACTGATATGATGCATTATATGCTAACTGCACTATGATCAGAGAGTGTGGCTTCTGCAATTTCTGTCTTATGGAAGTTACAGAAATTTTTTCTATGAATAATTTTTGTAAATGTTTCACAAGTAATGCAAAAGATATGTTCTGTTTGTTAGATAAAAAATTTTGTTTAGAGCTGGGAGAACCATACAGCCTGGTAAGCTGGAATGCTCCTTTTACATCTGTTGTCCTGGCATCAATACCAGTCCTTTTGAGTATCACAACATTCTAGTTTAAACAATAAATTATGCTTACCCTATTTATAGGTAGGAGAGCAAGGCGTTAAGATCATGGTCTCTTAACCAGGCTGCTTAGGCACATTCCTCACCACTCTATGCCTTGTTTCCTCACTGTAAATTTTTTTTTTTCTTTTTTTTTGAGACAGAGTCTCACTGTGTTGCCCAGGCTAGAGTGCCGTGGCATGATCCTTGCTCACAGCAACCTCAAACTCCTGGGCTCAAGCGATCCTCCTGCCTCAGCCTCCCGAGTAGCTGGGACTGCAGGCATGCGCCACCATGCCCGGCTATTTTTTCTATATATTTTTAGTTGTCCAATTAATTTCTTTCTATTTTTAGTAGAGACGGGGTCTCGCTCTTGCTCAGGCTGGTTTCGAACTCCTGAGCTCAAACAATCCGCCCGCCTCGGCCTCCCAGAGAGCTAGGATTACAGGCGTGAGTCACCGCGCCCGGCCCTCACTGTAAATTTTTCATGAACAAGAGATAATAACAGCTCATGGTGAGTACTCACTGATGCTATTATCATCTGTTACATCAAACTTTTTCAGATTCTCTCCTAAATCATCTCCATATTTATTTATTTTTGTCTTTTTATCTGTCAAGAAGCATGTGAAAATATCTTTACTGTACTTTCGTCTTCTCTTTATATTTCTCATAAATTGGCTATAATAACTTGGAGTCAATATTTTTACATGCTTTAACATCATCACAATTAGACCTTCACTATAAATTTCACAATATACTGGTATAAAATGACTCTTCTATCCCTTTGAAATAAAAAATGGGCTTTCTGGAATAGGAGAGAGATGGAAGCAGAGAAATTGCCAAGTACATGAGGCTTTGGCTCTGTTTTTTCTACCCAGCTAAGATGTTGAATTTGTTAAGGCTGGATTTGGTCAATGTTCCTTTAAACAGAAGTGCATGGACTGTTAGGAAAATTCCTTCAGTACAAGGGTGTAAACCCTGAATTTAATGGGTAGCGAACAGCAACTCTCTACTTCTGTGGTTCCCAACCCCCATGCTGTGGACCAGTACTGGTCCATGGCCTGTTAGGGAATGAGCGGTAGATGTTTGCTGCCCCTCCCATCCCCTGTGGAAATATTGTCTTACATGAAACTTAGGACTCATGGGGGCTGGAGGAGGGACAGCAGGAGGTGAGCAGCAAGCTAGTGAAGCTTCATTTGTATTTACAACCAGTCCCCATTGCTCCCATCACCACCTGAGCTCCGCCTCCATACCCCCAACAACCCCACCTCCCCAATCCCATCTGTGGAAAAAATCGTCTTCCATGAAACTGGCCCCTGGTGCCAAAGAGGTTGAGGACCACTGCTCTACTTTGCAGAGACCAAGCAATCATGGGCTGGTCCTGCAGGGATTCTGAGGCTGAAGGAATGAGTGCCATCACATGCCGTGTCTGTGCTGGCCTCTCTTCTTCCCATGAGATAATGTGTTTTTGGAGGATAAAATAAGAACTTACTTTAACCTTACAGTAGATGTATGTTCTCTTTCCATCAATCCATGATACTCCTGATATAACACACCCATTTTATACTTTTCACCTTATATTAATAATTATGCTTGCAGTATAATCACCAAATTGAAGTGTTGAATTTATTGTAAACATCACCTTAAAAGCAGCATAGTAAGTGGCTGTATCATGAGGTCTATAGGACAAATGAAAACACACATAAAAAAAACATTGTGTTAAACCATTAAGTAAATATGCAATTGTGCCTCGAGATGAATTTCTAGTATAAAGACATCATGAAGGATTCAAAGAGTTATGCATTAGAACCAACCCGATGGAAGTGAAAATAATGTTTGCCTTCGAAAACTGTGTTAGATGACTCAAAGTGGCTCTAGTGATGACAAAGACCTGATGGCATGGCTGCATATGAAGAATCTGAATAAATATTTTCATGAAATGTGAGTACGGAATAAGCAACATTTTCCAATTTTACATAATATGTGACTGAGTATATAATTTGTAATATATATTTTATATAATATGAAATATAACATATAATATAACCAAAAGTATAAATTTAATATTTGAAATATTTATCCATTTCATTAGGGTTGCCCTAAAAATGTTTATTTGAACTTTTTTCATTATAAAATTGTACAGCAGTCAATACATATCCACAGCCATCTTGTATTTGGTCACATACATTATTTATGGACACCACCTCCAATGTTTAGCTCCTGGCAGTCATTTTCTTTTGTGTCTTAGGTTCTAAGAACAGCATGCCCTGAACCTGCTTGTGACCCTTTGTCCCTCTGGCCAAGAAGAAAGATGAAATATCAGACTGAAATACACATAGTGGTTATTTATTTGTGAATTTTAAGGCTTCTGACTCATTAGGAAGTGACCTACTTTCCATGCTTCAGCTTCTTGTGAATTTCTTAAAAGGCTATGGTACTTTCCCATAAACTCATTATATTAAACAATACTATAAAACAGAGTAGTGGCTTTGGCAGAGACAGAGAGGAGTTTGAATCTTCTGGTTAAAGCTGATTCTGAATAATTAAAGAAATGGTAAGAATGTAAACAACCAATGAGATATTTTGCAACTCATTGAATAAAATTGCACAAGATGTTTTTATCTTTGCAAAATCCTGTCCTAGCAAAGGCTAAAGCACTATCGATAGCAATTAGTAAACCCTTTAAGCTTCCAATTCAATCTAACCAACAAACACATTGCCTGAAATTTATTGGAAAATATTGTTTCTTCTGGGGGCTGGATTCACTGTGCTGGTATGGATTTAAATTACTAATCCTAGAAGAATTCCATACTACACACAAAATCAATTTCACAAACACACATTTGAGAGTCTGTGTAAAAGTCTGTTAAGGTTTTCAAATGGAAAAATTATCATACATTTTAACTCTATCAGTCCTTCAAAAGAAATATTTAAAAAAACTATCTTCTCTAGAAGCATTTTTCTTTGGCTTTTTCAATATATTAGACACAGCTTGTAGGAGGAGCTGAGAAAAAAAGTGCACACAAATCCCACTTCTTGCAAAGTGACATGCTGGTACTGAAAGCTGGTGTTTTAGAAGCAATTAGGCCAATTAAGCCTGACAGCATGATTTCAGAAGGAATGTTGTGAAAGCTCCTATCAGCAATGAACGTTTGCACTAAAACACAGAAAAGCTGATACATGCACAGAGATACAATTTTGGAGTGCTATCCATAAAGCCCACGCCCTTGGAAGGGCAGTGGAGTAAGATAATAATGATGATTTTAGGTTTCTGTTTAGTTCTTTTCAAAAGGAGGAAGGCATATGAAGAAGCAGGTTCTACCATCCGTCAATGAAGGGATTTGGTAAATGGACAAAAGTCTGTAACTGACACACAAAAGGAGGAGAAAACCAGTGAATGTTTTCTTTATAAATTACATTCCAAAGGAAGATCATCATCCCATAAAGTATACAGCTCTGAACAGATCATAGTTGGAGGCAAAATTGGTAATAAGGAGATCTGGGTTTGTATTTTGAAATTAATGAAATGTGGTTTATTACATAAAGGCCCAAATTAAGAGTAATTGTGAATTAAGTTCATCTTATGCCCAAGTCAGACAGAACAGATAATGCAAAAAAAAATCTCTCCATACAATATTATGATGAAGATATTTAATATGGTGATTGACAGTAGTTGATTTAATTTGGAAAAAAAATATTGGATTAAAACTAAAAGGACAGATTTAAAAAAAATTCTCACAGTTAGAAATATGCTTGCTTTAGAAACTCACTAAATTCACCACTGATCATTTTTTTAGCACTATTATTTGTGTCTAAGTCTCTATCAGCAAAGACAGAATATGTGCCTGAATTCTGTGTTTCTTTTCATTATTCTGTTTTTTCTATTGCTTGCTTAACAAAAGTCAGGAGGAGATGGACTACTTCTATAAAGCAGATCACTTGGCTGAAGAACACTAAAAATAATGCCACGCCTGGTTGGATGTGACTTACAGATCTCTGGTGGCAGAAATGAAAAGCGAGATCTCTCAGAGAAACAGGCTTTTCTTTAAAGATAGGGCAACTTGACTTGTGATCATTCTTTTAAGCAATCTTCATCACCAGCCAGCTTAGTTACAATAACTGGTAGATAAGTACTGACACAGAAGACTCTTTTATAGCTGAAGATACATGAGAAATTATATTGTTAGCTTTTCCGCAAATATATAATAAAGTTGGTTAATTCTGGAGAGAAAAGGAAATGTGTACTATTAGACTTTCACTTGAGGATAGAAGGCTCCAAACTCAGCTGTTTGGACCCTTCAGCTGTTTGGAAACTTATTGAAAAAACATTGTCTGGGCCCCTCCCCAAACCTGAGATCAATCTCTGCATTTAAAAAAAAATTCCCAACTTCCCCCCCACCGCCAAAAAAAATCCCCTATCCTACAACATGGTGATTCTGTGTCCACAAGGTTTGAGAACTGCTGTTCTTGATGGCAGTGTTGGGATGTCTTATGCTGCAAATCATTAATATTCCTGATGTCCATTACTCACGTGTAAACTTTAAGAACAAAATCCTTTTCTTCCTTTAATTCTGTGAGTGATTGTAGGACATCCAAGATGCTTAGGACTGCACAGCCATATGGTCGCCTGTAGTGCAGATGAGCAGGGCCCTTCTTTGAGTCATTCAGGAGCATCCGGCCTTGGACACAGCAGAAAACACCAGTTAGACTGAGAACTTCACTCTCCTCTCTAACATCTTTTGACTGTCATCTAAGGATGGCAGAGCTACAGGCACCTAAGAGATCCTCTATATTGGAAGACTACAGGGCTGAATGGAGTCATACAAGCATATTTATGTGGCAGAATACCAAACAGGCCTCTGGCCAAGGCTCTTTCCCTGCACCACAATCAATCAATCATCCTTATCATCTACCTCTAAACCAACACCAATAGTCCATTTATTAATCACATGAGGATAAAAGAGTGGTTTCATCAATTTCTTAGAAAAAGCAATGTGCGAATAGATTTAAATATGTCATTCATATTAAGGATACAAAGTTCAGTATTTTAGCTGCCAGGTATAAACTATGTATGCACAGATAAGAAAGACACTGTTCTTCTTTCAACCAAATTCTGCTGCAGAAGGTGCTCCTGAACCACTGTGGAAATGAAAGCAGTATTGAGAAGTAGACGGGTGCTTACTTTTCCTGCTTACCAAAGCAGTGCCTACAGTGGCAAGAGGACTTGCAAATGCTGGAACCTCAACAAATGCCTTAAGTATAGCAAAGTAATTATCCACAGATAAATAATATTCTTTGACAAAAATGTATACAATATGGTAGAACCCAAACCTATGAAGGAAGATTTGGGTAAAAAAGTTATGTCATAAACTTGAAATAAATCTGGGTAAACCAACCACAGAACAGTAGAAAAAAAGAACTTTTTTTCATCTTTGGTGAGATAAAAGTGAGATTCCATCCATCTTCTGGAGTGACAACAACTCTAATTTTGTGAAAAATAGCACAGATACATAATTTTGGACTCAAACCACAAGAAAGGGCATTTACCACCTGTTAAGTTGGCACCCCTGGCAACTTGCTATAAGATCTCTGAACAAAAAGATAGGTACAGAGGCAGGACATTGTGCTAGAGAGAATGTAAATAAGCAGACCACTTGAAATAAAAAGTTTGCGTACAAAACCAAATGGGGAGCAGAAGGTTTCAAGTGACAAACCTGCCCACCTAAAAACAAAACAAAAAAGCATCCATTTATATCAAACCCAGTTATCACAGCAGCTGAGCTTAAGGTAGAGCTCCAACACAAGCTGGACTCCAGTCCTGAGACCTGAAATAACAGGTAACATCTGTGGAGGAAAAAAAGCTCATTCATAGGAGATACTTATCCCAAATTGGGCCAGTCTTAGTTATGAGAATAGATAAGGTGAAGTACCTATTCGGATCACGTGGGCAACTATATACAAATCTCTCTTCATATCTTTGCTGCTCAGATCCTAAGAAAAGAGAAAAAACAAGTAAATTTAGACAAGGAATACACAGAAAATAATTAAAATTTCATTTTGAACATCTAGTGGTTTGCTTTCAGTATATGTTATAGGTGGGGGAAGGGAGATTACAGCACACAGCAGTTTAGTGCTTACCAAGATTCCTGTAGTGAAAGTCTGGATACTTTATATGCCTTTGGAAGTGAATTTTATTGACAATACTTTTCCAGATCTCATTTTGACCACCTAACAAATCAAACATCTACAAAAGTTCTCACACAAATCTTCATGATATTGCCCTATCCCATGTTTATTCTAGAATCATGTAAAAACATTTTGTAACAAAAGGAGTAAATGCTCAGTGCAGAAAAATATGGGAAAACACCAAAAAGCTCATTAATGACTGAAATTCTAAAAGTTTATTCTCTAATTTTTTTCTTGTTTCAGAAAGGTTCTTGCTCTGTTGCCTGGGCTAGAGTACAATGGCATCATCATAGCTCACTGCAACCTCATACTCCTGGTCTCAAGTGATCATCCTGCCTCAGCCTTCCAAGTAGCTGGGACTACAGGCGCACGCCACCGTGCCTGGCTAATTTTTTTTATTTTTTTGTAGAGATGGGGTCTCACTGTGTTGCCTAGGCTGGTCTCAAACTCCTGGCCTATTCTCTAATTTAACATTGATTCATTGTCCACAAATGATTATTACATACTAGATACATTCCCTTTAAGACAGAGGTCCCCAACCTTTTTGGCACCAGGGACTTGTTTCATGGAAGACAATTTTTCCATGAACTGGGGGTGGGGGGAGGAACTAAGTTACATTCCAAAGGAAGATCTTCATCCCATAAAGTATACAACTCATATCAGAACAGAATTGAAGGCGAAATAGGTAATAAGGAGATTTGGGTTTATATTTTGTATTTAATCAAATGTGGTTGATTAAATTAATATAAAGGCCTATCTATCTTCCTGCAATATCTCTCGCACATTTGTATATGCAGGGATTGTTTATCATGAAAGTCAGCAGAATCCTCATTGTATTGGCCAGTCACATAAGTATAAAACAGCCCCTTCTTGGATAAAATTCTTCCTTCACAGGAAACCCTCTAAAATTTATTAAGGTCAGAAAAAAATAAGGATTCAAAGAGAACAGGGTTGTGCCATAAATAATGTGACTGTAATGTGGCTCTGAAGTCAGCTGAGCAACCCTGTAATCTGCTGTTTGTATGGTCCCCTTTTCCCTATTCTAAGGTAAGCTAACACCATCAACCATACTTGTGGCTACATTTTCTTTGCAATTGCTCTGAGACTTTGTAGCATATATGCCAATCTGGAAAACTCCTTTATCTTATAGGAGAAACTCAAGTCTTAGATAGTGAGAAAACAGGTCAACCAAAGTTATTATTTTATAATAGCTTAAAGTAAAACATAACAATCCTGGCTAAGAAAATCTTATTCAGAAATCTTGTATGCTTTTTAAAAATTCCTCAAATCATGTTTGGGACCTTTCTTTAAAAAAAAAAAAATCCAGGTCTGTACTGCAAAGGGAATTATGGAAACAGTATAGTTAGCAGCCTTGTGCCTTCCCACTGTGGCTAAACAAGAGCACATCCCAAGTGTTAGGTGCATCTTTGCCTTATAAAGCTGGAGCTACAGCTTTGGCCTCTAGGCCTACATGGACAATTAAAATACCAAATGAAATTTTTTATTTATTGTAATTACATTCAAATACCATCATAATTAAGTCCATTTTTCAAGAGACAAGGACTATACTCATCATATTCAAGGATTCAAGGATATCATACACACATAGCTCTGTTCTCACAAAACCAAAGAACAAGGCATCAACAAATTCTCTTGCTGCTTTACCAGATAGTAGCAGAGAATCAGGATCTAGAAAAACCTCCTAAGGCTACTGAGACATTCTAGACAGGTGGGTCTCTTATCTCTTTTTAATTCCGTTTTAGAAAGGAGTTCCAATAAAACCACCTTGGTATTCACATACTCACTTCAGAAGCTCTCACCCAATAGTCTAACCTAAATCCCATTGACTATAAGTTGAATTTTATCCTTTGTTGTTTTCCTATTAAAGAAAGAACATTGATCTTTCCAGACTAACCCAATTCAACTCCCTTGACCATCTTCATGGGTCAGCTTTTCCTGATCTTTCTTCCTGCATTATCCCCTAAGCCTTGAACGCTAAGCTCAAAGATGGATAAAACATTATTTTGGCTTAGCCAGATTTATACATCTGTCTGTTTTATTGGAACATTTCCAATAAAAGCTATCCCTGTGAAAGTGGTTTTTGATTCTGCAAATAACATCATTTGATGTTTTGAAAGATAAATTTGTAGTAAATGAACTAAAAAGTGAGGTGAACAAATGCAATTTATCTTTCAAAGAAAGTCACATATCAGATCTCCAGATAAATCCCATTTGCATTTAAGAGGCACACTGTTAGGTTTAAGATATCTGACCACCACCCATCAATCAGTCAAATACGCACCATATGGCAGGTCAGTGATACTGTGAGATTATCACAGCTCCCCACACACAATAGGTTTTGATATATCTCAGTATCAGTGAAACAGATCAAAGAATCCACAAAAGTCAAAACTCGTTTAAAATCGTGACACAGTTTTGTTTCCTTCTTCAGCAAATAAATTAACTCAAATAAATAAGCTGAATAATTTAGTTTTTTAACTGGGTAAAAACAGATTAGTAAGTCGGAATCAACTTGAAGAATATACAAGTACAATGTGGTACTGTAAGGTTTAAAACTTTCTAATAAGCACATTATCAAGTATTTTCTGAGTTGATGAGTCTATGATTGCAGAGACTATGAACAACACTACAGTTATTCAGTAAGAAACTAAAGTTCAGATCATAGCAGGAAAAGATCCTCCATTTGGTATTTGGAAGAGGACTATTTAGTTAGTTTCACTGTATGTGAACTTACTAACAAACTGCAAAGCTGTAAATTTTGTGGATGCCTTTAAAAGAAATTATGCTTATACATCAGAGAAATTCCCAGTGGCCTTGGATAAGAATAGTAAGAAAGACTTTTGTCAGATTTTAAGTGTCTATTATATGAAATAGAAATTTACATCACTAAAAGGTACTTGATTATATTTCTTTAATAAAAATTCAGTTTAAAACTGAAGCTAATTTCAGCTTTCTATAAATATTTCATTAAAACCTGGTAGAAATATAAATCAAGTCCTATTATCCCCAGTGTACACAGAAATGAGAATAAAATGCTTGTTTCCAGGATGATAATATATACATAGCAGGCCCCTGGTTAGAGTCAACAGCAAAGAAAGGAAAGAGAATTTGCACATACTGTAAAAAGGGCACACATTCGTTCTATCTTCTCTGGGTTCCTTGGCCCACCATTCTTGTTCAGTCTCACCAGAAACCGCTCACTGAAATGTAGGGAAGAAAGAGATAGAAATGTGAGGAAGTGGGTGCTCCAGAACAAATAAAAAGGGCATATATAGAGAAATACTAAACACTTTAAGAACAGCTTGTAGTGACAAGGCCAAATACACATGTTTAGTGAGGATACCCTATTTTTCCTGCCAAGCAACAGGCAAATGACACTACAAACTGCCTCATAGGTATTGCTATTCATTTGCTGGTTGTGGCTGTGCGTCTTACCTCTCTGAAGGTGTGAGCTCCCCAAGGGCAGTAATGAGGACTGTATCTTATATTTCTCCCAAATATCCCCAGAGCATCTCACATGATGCTAAATCCATAACAAGTATATACATTTTTTGATGTGAGCACTCAGATCCTCATAAAAATATTATCATATTAAATCCAACAGAATCTACATTAACCAATCTACATCTTCCTATATAACTCTCCAGAATCATTTTAGGGCTTAAAAATGTTATAGCAACTTTTAAAAACTTGGGTGGAAATTCAAAGACAAATGGTGTATTATAGCTAAAGCTATATCAGAATTTAATAGAGCCACTAAATATTTAATTTCCCAAATAATATAGGTAATTCCTGAAGGAAATTATTGAACTAGAAAACGTATAAACAGTGTTTGTAACATTGGAGAAATGTCTTCTTACTCTCTCATCTCTTTCCAGCCCCTGCCCAGAATCTCATTGCCATCTCTTCATCCTAAGGTTCACTATCAACTGTAACAGGCAAACTCAGCCATGGGGAAGACAAAGTATGTGATTCTAAAAGAAAGTTATTTCTTGTGTCCCCAGTCATGTACTCACTGAATATATGTGGTATCAGTAAAAGGGCTGATGTTAAAATATTATGCTAGAATTATGATGTGATATAAAATCAGTTACATAGTTTGTTAGTTTGTTCATGGATTCATTTGTTCATTTAGCCTATGAATAGTTATTAAGTTCTATATACTAAGCATGTGAATACAAATGTGAACAAGATATATACGAATATATACAAGGTACTTTTTCTTCATAGAGCTATGGTCCTGGTACGCAGTGAGACATGCAGACATGATTTTCAAAAGATTTGGACCAGATATAAATTTGAGATTCTTCGGCCAGAGGAGTAGATGGGAATAAGCAGGGAATATGCACAGAATGAGAAGAAAAAAAGGGCTTTGGTCAGAATCCTGAGGGAGAGTGATATTTAAGAAATAGGCAAAAGAACTAGCAAAATAGACACATGGTACAAATAGAAAAACAGAAGAAAAATAAGAAGAATAGTGGGGTGCTGCCTTAGTTCGGGGAAGAGAGTATCTGAAAGATGTGGGAGGGGTAATTAAGGTCCAAGGCCACTGAGAGGCACATGAGACAAGGACGAAATTGTGTCCCACTTAATGTTAGAACAGAGATTACTATTGATTCTGGAAAGAATTGTTTTAGTGGAATGGTAGAGAAAGATGCCAGTATAAGGAGTAAGAAATGAGAGAAGCACAAACAGTGAGTCTTTAAAGAATGGTAGTAAAGAGGTGGAAGTGACAATTTTTAATTAAATAGGCATGCGGAGCTGAGGAAGGTCTTTGTTAAAAGATGGGATAACCCACATGTATACAGTCAACTGATTTTCAATAAAGGTATCAAGGTAATTCAATGAGGGAAGCACAGTAGTTTCAACAAATGGTGTTGAACAATTCATATGGAAAAACTGAACCTTGACCCTTGCCTATAAAATATTAACTTGAATGGATCACAGACCTAAATATAAGAATTAAAACTATAAAACAATAAGAAGAAAACTCAGGAAAAAATGAAAACAACTACCTTGTATATCTTGTTCACAGCTGTGTTTCCATATTTAGCACCTCGTAGAAAACTCGTTGTGCCCCAAGATTATTAAGCAAATATCATAAATCACAACAAAATGATAAATTAGACTTTATCAAAATTAAAACTATCTTCTCTTTGAAAGACACAGATATGAAAATGAAAGGACAAGCTACCATGTGGGAGAAAATATTTATAAAACATTCATCTAAGGAAGGGCTGTCCTGAGAATGTATAAAAAAACTCGGTAATAGGAATAAGTAATTTAAAAATGGACAGAAGATTTGAACAGACTCTTCAAAGAATGTACAGAGATGGCAAATAAGTACAAAGAAAGCATCATTACTCGTTAGAGAAGTGAAAATTAAAAACAGTGAGATACCAATACATACCTACTAGAATAGCTAAAATTAAAGACTGAATATATACCAAAGGTTGGTGAGAATGTAGAGCAACTAGAACTCTCATAAACTGTTGGTGAGAATGCAAAATGGTATAGCCACTTTGGAAAACATCTTGACAGTTTTTTACTAAATGATCCAGTAATTGTACTCTTGGGTATTTACTTAGGAGAAATGAAAATACATATCCACACAAAGACCTATATGTGAATGTTTATAGCAACTTTATTTATAATAGCCAAAAAATTTAAAGAACCCAAATGTCTATCAAAAGATAACTGAATTATCTATATAACAGAATACCATTTCATGATTAAAAAAAAACAAACTAGGAGATATATAATAACGTGGATGAATCTCAAAAGCATACTGAGTGAAAAAAGTCAATTGTGAAAGACCATATAGTGAATGTTTCCATTTATACTACGTTGTGGAAAACGCAAAACCATAGGGGCAGAAATCAGATCAGGAGTTGCCAGGCTGTGCAAGGAGTGTAGGGACTAACTGAAGGTGCATGAGGGAACTTTTTGGGAATGATGAAATGTTGTATTTCTTGATTGTAGTGGTGGTTTCACAACTATGCATTTGTCAAAACTCACTGAACTATGCATCAAAAAGGGTGAATTTCACTATATATTTAATATAAATTACATTCAACAAAACCTGACTTCAAAAAAAGATAGGATACACCTAAGAACATGTACATGTACTAGGACAATGCTTGTAGAAAGAGAATATTGAAGACATAGGAAATAATTGGTAAATGAAAATCCCTGAGGAGATGAAAACTGACAGAATCCAGTAGAGTGATGGAGGAAACAATAGATTTAGATACAAATAAGTTTGTAATTTTAGTAATAGAAAGTTGAGGATTATCAGAGAAACAGAAAATAAGAACAGCAAAGTAAAGTTTTAAAAAAAAGACATCCAAAAACATCAGAAAAAACTCTGAAGACCATTTGACAGAAAATGAAATGAAATAAAAAAGATAGTTGTGACATAGACAAGTGGAAAAGTGGCAAAAAAGGGACAGTTAGTCAAGTCAATTCTCTCTTCAAAGTATATCTTCAATTTTTATAAAGGTCTCCATCTCCTTCACCTCCATTAATCCAGGCCAATACTGGATTCTAGCTTGCAGTATTATAACAGCTTCCCAGCTGATATCTCTACTTCCCTTTTTGCCTCTCTAAAACCCATTGTTTGGAGAGACAGATCCTTTTAAAATATTAATCAGATCATATTTTTCCCATCTTAAGACCTTTTCATGTGATCAATTTGGTCAATGATTTTTTTATAAGAGTGTCAAGACAATTCAATGGAGGAAAAATAGTATTTCAACAAATGGTACGGGGCAACTGGATATCCGCATGAAAAAGAACAAAGCTGGACCTTTATTTTACACCATATATAAAAATTAACTAAAAATGAATCAATCATAGACCTAAATGTAAGAGTTAAAACCAATTTTTTTTTTTGGTAGAGACAGGATCTTGCTCTGTTGCCCAGGTTGGAGTGCAGTGTCACAATCATAGTTCACAGTAACCTCGAACTCTTGGGTTCAAGCAATCTTCCTGCCGCAGCCTCCTTAGCAGCTGGGACTACAGGCACATGCCACTATGTCCAGCTAATTTTTTTTTTTTTATTTCAGCATATTATGGGGTACAGATGTTTAGGTTACGTGTGTTGCCCTTGGTCCCCCCTCCCAAGTCCGTGTTTCAAATATGTCCATCCTTCGGGTAGTGCGCATTGCACTCCTTGTGTATACAAATACCCGTCCCCTCCTCCCTCCTCCCCCCTCCTCCCGCCGCCCTCCCCCTTCCCCAGCATCCAATAGATGTTGTTCTGATATGTGCATTTATGTGTTGATGAGTTAATACCAATTTGATGGTGAGTACACCAGAATCTATCTAGAACTCAAAAAAATCAACAAGAAAAAATCAAACAACCCCATCAACAAATGGGCCAGCTAATTTTTTTTTTTTTCATTTTTTAAAGACAGGTTCTATGTTGCCCAGGCTGGTCTCAAACTCCTGGCCTCAAGCAATTCTCCTGCCTCAGCCTCCTGAGTAGCTGGGATTACAGGCATGAACTACCGTATCCAGCAAAACTACAAAACTCTCCTAAGAAAACATTGGCATAAATCTTCAAGACCTTGGATTATGTAATGGTTTCTTAGGATACCACAAGTACAAGCAACAAAAGAAAAAAATTAGGTAAGTAGGACTTCATAAAATTTAGAACTTTCATGCTTCCAGACACTACCAATAAAGTGACAGACAAGCTACAGAATGGGATAAAATATTTACAAATCATGTTATCTGATAAGGAACTTGTACCTACAATATAGAAAGAACGCTTAAAATTCAATAATAAAAAGACAACCCAATTCAAAAATGGGCAAATGACTTGAATAGATGTTTCTCCAAAGAAAATACACAAATGGCCAATAAGCACATGAGAAGATGTTCAACATCATTAGACATCAGGAAACTGCAAATCAAAACCACAATGAGGGTACCACTTCACACCCACTAGAATGACTTTATTCAAAAAGACAAATAATCACAAGTGTTGACAAGAAGGTGGCGAAACTAGAAACATCATACACCGTTGACGGGAAAGTAAAATGGTATAGCTACTTTGGAAAACAATCTGAACATTCCTTGAAATGTTATACATCGTTACTATGTGACCTAGCAATTCTACTACTAGGTATATATCCAAGAGAAATGAAAACATATGGTCACACAAAAACTTGTACATGACTGTTTATAGCAGCAT